AGATGATGAAGAAGACTTTGGGGACTTTCTCAGAGTGGAAGTGAAAGGCTTTAGTGAGCAGACCATAAAAACATACTTATCTGCAATGCTCGGCGACGCCCAAAAGAAGGTTCTGAGCAACTTGGAGTTGTTGACTCTTTGCCATGTCCCAATGTATGCGCTGATGGTGGCGGCTTGCTTTTCATCTGAGACACCAGAAGACTCTCCACAGCCGTGCAGTATAACTGAAATCTACATCAATATTGTTCGTTTTTGCCTTCAAATGAACAGCAACAAAACAAAAACCAAAGATCTGAATTCCTTCATCAACAACAAGAGTGAGGAAATACTGTCTTTGGCTGAGGTTGCTTTTCATGCAACTGAAGGAAAAACTGTGAACTTGACAGAACTGCCCCGTGAAGACAGCTGTGTCCTTTGCTTCCTGAAACCACTTGTTATCAAAGTCGCCCCCACTAAGGCAATAACCACGTATGCGTTTCTCCATTACACAATGCAGGAGTTTTTTGCAGCACTGTGGCTCTTGAAGAATCCAGATAAAATCAAGGAGGTTTTTCAGCAATGCCTCACTCAGGAGAAGAAACACATGAAACATCTGATCCCTTTCATGTGTCGATTGTTGACTGAGAAGAGCCCGAGTTTGATGGAGTGTCTGATTCCAGCTCAGGAGCTCAGAAATACATCCAACTGGTTCTTCAACGAAATGATAAACACATTTTTCCCTCATCTGTTTGAGACAGATGAGGCTGATACTGAGGACAGTGGGTTTGATGTGGACGTACTGTTCTTATGTCAGTGTTTGTTTGAGTCCCAGTGTCCTGAAGCATGCGTCTACTTTCTGGACAAACTGGACTACCGTCTTAATCTCAGTGGAGAGAGTCTCGGTCCTTACCCTTGCTGTGCTGTGGCCTATGTGGTCACTCAGTCGAAGGAGAAGAAAATATATCTGAACCTCGAGAACATCATGGTGTCAGAGCAAGGAATGAGACGACTATTTGGATGTCTTCAAAATGTCCAGTGGTATGTGTGAGCATGTGACAAATTACTGCTTACGTTACAACACATCTAATAAAGTAGAACTGAGTTGTTATTTTTATGTGTAAAAAACTAATTTTATTAATGAATCCAGGATGTAATGAGGATGACAGAATAGAATGACCCCAATGACCCTGAACAGGAAGAGTTAGTCTAAAAAAGGCATGGCAAAAACT